TGTCACTGAGTGCGCCCAGCAGTTGCGAGACAGAATCTTTTGAGCCCCAGTCCAGTCACAATGCACGTCAGGCATGGCGTGCGGGCGCTGGCGGCACATGGGAGTTTCCGAAAATAGGGGACCCTAATGTTGGACCCCAAATAGTAGGATCCTTATTATAAGGACCCCACAATAAGGTACCCTAATTTTCGGAAACTCCCACATGGATGATCCCACCTTGCAGGGCAAGGGCCTGGAGCGGCGGGCCCAGTGCTCCTTGAATGCCGCGCAGCTAAAGGATTGACTCTGTCTCCAGGCGCAGCAATGTGGGTATGGGCATGTTGGTGCTCAACCACGCCGCATGCTCAGCTGATTGCCCTCCTGTCTCCCGTGTCTGTCTGCTAAGCGTCATCAAATGATCTGTGCATTCTGGCATGCTCATCTGATTTCAGGCGGAATGCCTGGACGCTCACTTACTCCCCTCACTTACTTCTTTCACTTACTCGCCTCACTTGCTCCCCTGGCTCACTCCCCTCACTCACTCCCCTCTCTCACTCCCCTCACTCACTCCCCTCACTCACTCCCCACACTTACTCCCCGCATTCACTCCCCGCACTCATCCCCCTCTGTATCTGCAACATGTCACCTGCCCATGTTCTACTACCAGGCAATGTGCTGAATAGCAGCCAGACAAGCTCCAGAATGGCGCCGAAGACGCAGCCATATCTGTCGTATTTTATGAATACACAATGGAGGGCCCGGTCCGGGCAGTTCCCAGAATATCAAATCAACATCAAATCACCCGTCTTCTTTGCTATTCGTGGGGTAGCCCCGCAGTGGTAGCGCTCGCGAACTTTTCTGGCGACTTTTCTCGCATTGAAAGGGGTAGCCCCCAGCAGCAGCGCTCGCGAATTTTTTCTGGCGACTTTTCTCTGCCAACAAATGTCGTAGTAGGGGTCACAGAAGTTCTCTTGCCCAGCTGAGCCTTCTCAAGTTCCCGTTCCAGAGAGCATTTCGTTTGTTCTACATTCGGGGTCTCCAGATCCCAGCTTGTCAGCAGCCACCGAGGGATGTGATCTAGTCATGGAGCTGAAATGGCACATCCGATGATACGTAGCGGCCACGCTGCACGGCTGATCTACGCATACTCAATGCTGCGCTATCACAGCCTCGATGCCATGTAAATGTGCCTCTTGAAGGCACTCGTATGCACATTCGCAGGCAGACACCTGGCAGCTCCTGTCCTTGCCCGGCTTGAGATATAATGAAAGGCAGCTCCCCGCATTCTTGTCTCCGACGGCTATTTCATGGATGCGTCGAAACGCTCCTACGACCCAGAGATTTGCCAAGAGCCGCTCTGACCTGTGACGGCCTTGAACACAATGTCTACGCAACATTACTTGACTTGTGACTTAAACAGCTGCCATATTGACTCGAGCTGGACAGCGGATGATATCGCTAGCGGCACGTCGCATGGCGTCTTCTCAACTTGTCGATCCTGTGGGCTTTTACCTAAACAGGCGGGCGTTAACTTAGGGTTTAGGCCCAGCCGAAGCAGTGTCCCCAAAGCCTGAGCCTCCAGCCATGACCCTGCCACATGTCGACATTTGGTTGGCTTTCGCGCTCGTTGTTGCGATCTTCCATTGGAGGACAACAGGGGCAGATCTGGTGTCTTGGGTCAGTCGAGGCCTGAGGTACTTGGGCGCGGCGGGCACTTCTGCCGGAGTCGATTCGGAGAAGCGCGTCAACGACGCCATGGATCGGATCAGAGTGGAGAGCTGCCTTGCAACAGCCCGGCTTGTGCAACATCTCAATGCGGTGTGTGTGATTGCCGTGCCTCTTGTCTACGACTACGACGGCGGCGACTCCGTGACCTTTGCATATATGTTGCTTGCCAACTGCTTTCTGTATGCCCTGAACTGGTCGGTTGCCAGTGGACAAATTCACATCACAGTCGCACGCGTCAGAGGTGTCTGGGTATTATTCTACTCGCTTCTAGTTGTTGGTCATTGGATGGGTCCACAGTCGCACGACGTCCACGCCTCGGCCCACGTAAAGGTCCTGGAGGCTACGCAGGTCGTCGGCATCCTGGTTTTCGTGGACAGCCGGACCCACATACACGGTCAAGTATTGTTGGCGCTCACGGAGGTGTGCCGTCACGTTGTGAACCGTGGTTGGGAGCGAACGGAATTGCTTGCAACCATCCATGCCCAGCTTGTTTTTGCAGTGCTGCTCATCATTGCCGCCATCGTGTTTGAGAGTTCTCTCCGCGGACGCGTAGCCGCGCAGTTTCAACATGCGGATGCCGAGTCTTTGGTTTCCAGCTTCCGCACGCTTCTGCGAAGCGTTTGTGATGCGGAGGTGCTGTTGAGTGACAAGCTTGTGATTGAAGCGGGCACGGGTTTGAGCCGCATCCTGCTGTCAGGGAATGGGTGGGAAGGTGCCATGTTTCAGGACTTGCTATCTACAGACAGTGAGGAGCAGTGGCGTTTCCAAAATTTCATCTCAAAAGGACGGGAGGATGGTCAGCAGACAGCTGCTGCAACTGCGCCGTGCCTTCGCGTGTCGTTTCGCACTGCGCAGCAGCAGAGGGTTGGTGTGGACCTGTACCACGTGACAGTGCCGCACTTGTTTGGCTGCACGCATGCCTACCATCTGCTTGCCATGAAGATTGATCTGGAATCAACTACTATGCCAGAGGCAGTGCCAGCGCCGATTCATGCTTTCACCTTGAGGAGTAATGCCGCCGGCGGCAGTCCTCGCTCACGCGCATCCTCCGTGGCATCAAGTGCGGTGGAAGGATCAATGATTCGTGGCTTGCCACACTTGAGTGACATCATGCTGGTGGTGGGTGCACAGCATCGTCACGAAGTAGTGCAAGTGCACATTCAATACACGGAAAGCCGACAACACGACGCCGGCAGGGAGGGCAACGCGAGAGAGGTCGACACTCTGCCTTCCTTGCGGCAGTTCGTGCGGCCAACGGAGTGGCAGACGGTCTGCTCACATGTTCGTCAGGTCGCCAGCCGAGGGAGGTCGGGGAACACGCAGAAGTTCACCGTGGGCAAGGTGTGGGTCAGGATGATGGACAATCCTCGCCAGTACATGCAGGCCCGCGAGTGCACACTGCAATTTCAGGACAGAGGAGCCGGACAGGTTTGGATGCATCTGAGAGACTTCCGGCGAAGCCCTGTAGAGAGAAGCGTCGGTCGACCTAGTGAGCTTGGTGACGTCGAAGAGAATTCTGGAGAAGCTTCGGAGTGAAGCGGGTTTAAGGTTTAGGTAGGATTTCAGCTGGTGAGGCGGGGGTGGGCATGAGGGCATGTGCGGTGCAGCCCCTCCTCAAAACAGGATTTCAGTTGGTGGGTTTTGCTGTGCGTTTGATAGGAGCATCGGTGATTTATGCTAGCCACTAGCCGCTAGCCTCTTCTTGAAGCGCTTTGTGGTACTTCCACTGCCTGGGCCTGGGCCGTTCTTTTCCGCAGTCTCACCCTGACGTGTATGGATCCCCTGCTTGTCCGAGTGCGAGAGTCGAAATACCTGCAGGGTTCAAAGACCAAGGCAGTTGACTCACTGCCCTCATGTCATGATGGTGTAGAAACTGATGATGTTTCTGCTCTCCCTCCACCCCCTTTCCTCGCCTGAACTCTCACTCCCTCACTCCCATTCACATCTAGCTCCGCGCACTCCCGTTCACGCCCACTCCTATTCACACCTCACTCTCCTCACCTCCGTTCGCTCCCGGCCGCTTCACACGCCTATGCCCATCTCACTCTGTGCACTCCTGTTCCGGTCCCACTCCTACTCACTCCTCACTCTCCAGTCTCCTCACTGGCATTGACACCCACGTGCATCAATCACAGTATCAATTCAGCCAGAGTTTAGCACGTTGACCAAGCCTTGAGGTGCAGTCCTGGCAGATGTCAGCTCTTGCTGGCTACGAGCTGCTTTGAGTCCGCAGGCATGTGAACCCTACGCGGCACGGGTGACAGTAGTGTTCTGTTCTTCCCCCGGCAGACATGTTCAAAGCCCTCGCATCGGCATCTGCTAAACACTTGTCGAGGCAGCGTCCCCGTCCGCAAATTTCCCTTCTCGTACCAAAACGAAGGAGTGTGAAGCTGGTCGCTATGCAGATGCTGCTGCAGCCCGGACCTGCTCGAGATGTCCACGAGGCTTCTCTGAGACCGAGAGCTAGATCAGGGTGCACGGTTTGGCCGGTTTGGTGTTCAAGCCACTCGACGTCCTTACGCCGGGAGATGTTCAGTCTATCAGGTGCTTGATCATCCTTTCCGATCAAATGCAACACTTCCGCCTTCCTTGTCCTTACTTGGGATGGCTTCTTCCTTAGCTTGCTAACCTGTGCCTGAGATGAAGTGACCGAATGGTTTGTGGTAATATTCTACTAATTGTGGTTTGTGTTTCTCAGCAGCTTCATGGCCGAAGGGTGGACTTTCTGTTGCACTTTAGCTGACACGCATATCGGCATGCAATACAGGGAGGCCTTCTAGGTGGCTTTGTGCGCAGTTCGCTCGCGGTTTTCCACAGCCTGAGTCATTCCCGAGTCATACCTTCTTGTAATGTACCCTTCCGAGATGCATCGCGGCGCTGTATCAGCAGAAGGGGTGCCCCAAGAGTTCTGTAGGTAAGCTGTACACCCTGTACCTAAAATCGCGGGGTTCGAGGCCCGCATGACAAGTGGCTCCTTCGAGCTTAACGCCTTTCTGCCTAAAGCCTTCCGATCCGAGTCGCCGAGTCTAGTGTTCAGGTGCCCCGGCGAGGCCGATGACTGCGAAGCAGGTCTGCCGAACTGAGTACGGCACCCAGACACCTAAGGCCTAAGATTAGGCCGCCCATGAGCAGAGATTCCTTTTGAACCGTCGCTGACTTCCGCAGCGAGCCGTGTGCGCTTGCTAGGATGTGCTGTGCTGCTTTGTTGTCCTTCCCTCGAACCCCTCGCAGAACAGCTGGGGTTCTCGAGGCTGTAGGAGGGGCAGCCCCTTCGGCTCTTAGACTTCGAGCCAATGGCGTCTGGGTATGTGGCTTGCAGCGGTGAGTGCCGCGACCCCACAGGGCCCAGCCCCTTGGCCTCTTCTTCAATCTTTTTTGAAGGGCCCTTGAAAGGGTAGGGGGCCTTAATACCTTTAAGGACTCAATAAGGCCTGCTTGAGGAAGTATAGTCCGCTACCCCGCGCAAGGCTCCGTCGTCAAACTAGGCTTAGGGCAAGGCAAGAGGATGGCATAGGATAGCCATGTGGGAGTTTCCAAAAATTAGGGGTACCTTAAGATTCCTTTAAAGGTTTACTATAAAGGTTCCCTAGAAGAGTTCTATAAAGGGTTTAGGGTCTAGAGTTTCCGAAAATTAGGGGTACCATGTTTTGGGGTCCTTATAATGAGGATCCTACTATTAAGGGTTCTGTACTAGGGTCCCCAATTCTCGGAAACTCCCGTGTGGTCCAAGGCCCGCTGCACCTTGCGGTGCGGGCCTGCAAAATCGACGCCGTGCGGAAGCTTCTGGGGGCGGGTGTGGATTTGGAGGCCACTTACCGTTGGTTAGTAGGGAATGGAAGTATGGTAGTAATAGTAGTTATAATTGTACCCCATTCCTCCATTCCCTACTAACCAACGGTGAGGCCAAGGACGACTCCGGCAACACACCGCTCATCGACGCCACGCTCGAGGGCTTCGTGCCGGCAGTGACAGATTTGCTGAAGGCAAGGTCAGATGTGAATGCCGCGGACAACGGGGGCATCACTGTGCTCATCCACGCGTCCTGCGATGGCAGGGTGGGGATCGTGGCGCAGCTCCTCGCGGCACGCGCAGATCTGAATGCCCAGATCCCGGGGGGCGGGACCGCGCTGTTCTTTGCCGCCCAAGAAAGCCAGAGCAGCGTGCTGGAGCAGCTGCTTGAAGCCCGGGCCGACGTGGATGGCCCGGCCATCGATGAGTCCGGGGCCTCCCCGCTCTACATGGCAGCCCAGAATGGCCCCACCACGGCGGTGCAGTCGCTGCTGGCAGCTCGCGCTGAAGTCAACCACACGACGCCTGATGGTGCCAGGCCGGTATACATCGCATCCCAGCATGGCGCCGTCGGCTCCCTCAAGTTGCTGCTGCAAGCCCGGGGGTGCTTCGATTCGCCGATGTGTGATGGGTCCTCCTGCGTGGCTGTCGCAGCCATGCACGGCCGCGAAGATACCCTGGAGGTCTTGTTGGAGGCCCGTGCAAACGTGAACCTTGTGACGGACCACGGGGAAACGGCACTGCACTCGGCTGCGGCACAACCCACCCATACCAGGATTCTGAAACGTTTGCTGGCGGCACGTGCCGAACTGATGGCGAGACCTTCGGATGGTGTTACGCCTTTGCACCTCGCAGCGCTCGGGAACCATGCCGAGGCGGTGCCGGAGCTGATTGCAGCCCGTGCGGAGGTGGATGCCACCTCCAACGGCGCGACCCCACTGCATGTGGCGCTGAGCAACAGCCATATCGGCCCAACTCAGGACTCGGGGTTCCGGTTTGTGCTCAGACCCCTGAGGTTGCGTTACCAGTTGCGAGTATAGTTATCTTATGTTGCCTTGAATCCTAAACCCTAAACCCTTCTAGAACTCCCCACCAAGACTGCTTCGAGGAGCTGCTTCGCGCCCGAGCCTCTTTGACCGCGAAGACCTCCACCGGGCACAACGCCTTGGCCATCGCGCAGGTGACCGGACACCTCGAGATCCAGAGCCTCTTAAAGAGCTGGGACGCCAAATGACCGCCACAGCCCTAAACCCTAAACCTAAAACTCTACACCCTAAGCCGGATGAACCGTTAGTCCGTTATTCCTTACATCGCGACGGGACGTGCGGCCTGTCTTGTATTACCCATGTGGGCCATGTGGAGGGGGGAGGGTTGTCCTTTCTTGGGGGTCCCCAGGACTCCTCCGACTGAGCCCCCCCCCAAAGAGTAGTTCCTCTTTGGCGGTAGTTTATACAGCTCTCTCTACTCTATCCGAAAGTAGTGTGTGTATACATTATATATATATATATGTATATATCCTCTATATGTATATATATATATATATATATATATATATCAAGTAACGAGCCGAAAGAGGAACCACAAGTGCCCCTCGAAGAGTGGCGCATTGTGAGGATGCCGCCACCTCGACCTTTCGGGCGCGAGAAAGCGTGCCCACTGCTGAGCGAAGCTTGAAACGGGGGAGGAGGTTTAGGATTTAGCTTAACCCCAAACAACCTAGCTTCTTCAAGGACTTATATAAAGAAATCATGTTAGGGAACCCTAACAAGGTAGGCTATTTTGGGGTTCCTTCTGAACGGCCTGCCAAAACTCCTCCAAGATCTGCCTCCAGTTCCGGAAATGCCCACACAGCAGCACAGACTGGTCCCCTGTGTCCTTGCTGTAAACACACTCTCGTGGTGGACGAGGAGCTTGCGCCTCGGCTGAGCCCCCACAGCCCGGCCTTATAGCCAGGTTATATATATATATATATAATATATATATATAGAGCATTTGAAGTACTATTTTTTGTACAGTAAACTTTCTATGTATTATGTAATATACTATATGTATGTATGTATGTATGCAGGTAGTTACGTCGTGATTCCTTCGTAAACCACAGGGCTCATCTACACATCTCATGGTTCATCGTGTGCGGACGGGACGACGCGGGCTTTAGGAGGACGGATCACCGGAAACCCACAAACCCTAAACCCTAATTGGCTTCGTGATGACTGACTGCAGCTACTGACAACTTCCCAAGCACCCAGAAGCCTCCTCCTTCCACACGAGAAGCGCTTACCCTGCTCTGGCCCCTTGCCTACGTATTGGCAGTTCTCTAAATTCCCCCAAAGAGCAGTTCCTCTTCGGGTAGTATATACAACTCTCTATACTCTATCGAAAAAGGAGTCTCTGTGTGTGTATAAATTATATAAATATACTATATATATATGTGCATACTCTCTCTCTCTCTCTCTCTCCCTCTCTCTCTCTCTCTATGTACACACACACACACTCACACTCACACGCACACTCACTCACTCACTCACTTACTTATCTCTCTATAGTCAGGAGCCGAAACAGGAACCACAAGTGCCCAACCCTAAATTTGCGGGGCCTTTCGGGGAGTGGCACATTGTGAGGATGGCCACCTCGGCCCTTCGGGCGCGAGAAAGCGCGCCCAACGCCCACTGCTGAGCGAGGCTTGAAACGGGGCCATGGCACACCGCGGCAGGCACCAAGGCATAAACCCCCCACCCCTGCCTGTTCTGCCTGTTGAGGCCTCCCGGAATCGTGGAGAGAAGGAGTTCAACCGAAACACGCACCCGAATCTTCCGCAATCCTCAGGGTCGGATGCTTACCGGCTGGTTTACTCCTGACCCTAAACCCTCGGCCCGAGATGATTCTCTGCACATACTCCCCCCTGCATTGCTTTGACTGCAAGAGGGCAGCAGGCGGGTTTAGAGTTTGACTGTTGCTTGATGTCCGGGTGACGGGCAGCATTCAACCTCCAAGGCTTGACGTTAGACTGCGTTAGATCTTGAGTATCAGAGCCCCGGGTTCCCTCCCTCTGTGCAGTGACATGGTCTCACAGTGCCCAAAGGAGGCTTCTCACCCCTTTCAGCGCCCGTGCCGAAGTTTGGTCCATCAGTCCGTTGGTTGTAGTGAGCTGAGCTCCAGTCCCGAACTTTGGTCCATGGTGCAGGGAATGGATATCTTAGACACGGAGAAGAGTGGGGCTTTAGGGCAGAAGAGATCAGCAACAGCATAATGTGCCTCATTGGACGTTCACAGCCGCGGGGATTGAGCACATAAGGTAAAGACCGCCGTGGAGGTGGAATGCACATCGCCTAACAAAGTTCTATCCCAGTTCCCTCGGGCCTACTAGGGTCGTATCCAATCCGCTAAAGCCTTGAAGCCCCGTGCCTCCTAGATAGAGGAAGCCTTGACCAGTGCTTACGTGCGAACGTGAACAAAAAAGCCATGCAGGATTTGCCGAGTTCCTGCTATGCATCAGCGCAGGGCCCACGTTTGTTTCAGGTCGTTATCTGGAGTTCGCACCCACCAGCTTTTGTCATCTCACCACCAATGGACCAAATCATCTTTCTCAGGCGGGTCCCTGGGACCGAGGACAGAACGCATGCCAGAACTGTGGCTGTCGCACCCGAAGCATTTTCGGTGTAGGTAGGACGCGGTCGGTTTTGTCTGGTACTGCGAAGCAGGCCCAGATGCGCAAAGTGTTGGAATGCCTGTGGCTCGGTCTCGTCCTCACCTTCACCACCGCTGATGAATTGTCGACTGCCGTGTCACGTGGCGACGGTGTGGACCAGGCATCAGAGAGCGGCCAGGGGAAGGTCGTGACAGGAGGCTGGAACGATGTCGAAGCCATGCATGGGCCAGATGTCTTCACAACCGGCGATAGCATTGCGATCTAGCCACCCCGGCCCGGAACTAATCGACTGGCGCAGTGTTTCACGTTGTCACAGCTCCAAGGCCAGTAGGTGGTCATCACAAAGCCTAAAACGCTTAACTCGAATTTTTCTCCCGATTTCCTGAGATCTGCGAATGCAGAGCTGAGCAAAGAAAGTCTTGACGGATGTAGGCGGGGGACCAAGACTTGCAACAGCTTTGCTTGACCACCGAGACACCCCCACCCGCCAATTTCCAACCTGGACATGCTACTGCTCTCTGTGCACAGAGCAGGACTCCCAATTCGTTCTGCTAGACCAGGCAGCAGGAGACGAAATACAAAGACGACCCACCCAAGAGCCTTGGCCGATTGTTCCCCAAAACATACCCCAATGCCACCGCCGATCTCCTATCTCCAGGACCAGGCAGGATAGAGCCATTGCTCGACAGCCCAAGCGTGACAATTCCAACGCCCCTTCCAGCCCCCACAGAGCGCGCAGTGGCAATGTCTCACCACTGCGAGTTCCCCAAAGCTTGATGAAAACCAAGCAAAACAAGACCCTGCAAATGGTAGTTCCCCAATAGCTTGATGCAAAACACAAGCAAAACAAGATGCTGCAAATGGTATTTCCCGAATATTTTGATGCAAAACACAAGCAAGACAAGACCCTGCAAATGGTAATTCCCCAATAGCTTGATGCAAAACACAAGCAAACCAAGACCCTGCAGATGGTAATTTCCCAATAGCTTGATGCAAAACACAAGCAAAACAAGATGTGCAAATGGTATTTCCCGAATATTTTGATGCAAAACACAAGCAAGACAAGACCCTGCAAATGGTAATTCCCCAATATCTTGATGCAAAACACAAGCAAACCAAGACCCTGTAAATGGGTCATTCCCCAACAGCTTGATGCAAAACACAAGCAAAACGAGCGAGCCAGCTCTGGAAAGCAAACCGGGGTGCGCCAGACTTAGGGAAAAAACCCTCCGCTTCGAAACCTCGGCCGCAAGAGCTCAGGGTCTCGGCCGCTACGCGTGTTGCTGTTACTACTCCTAAGCGACGACGACGACGACACTGCTGCTGCTACCCTAACCCCTAAACGATGACGATGACACTGCTGCCGCTGCTGCCGCTTACGATATACTACCTAACGAGCTAGGTTTGTGAAAGGAAAGGCTACGCAGCCCAAAGAGCATAAAAAGAAGCCTAGGTCAGCATAAAGGAAGGAGTCACAGCATAAAGAAAACCCCGGTCAAGCATAAGAATAAGCAGGTGCAGCATGAAAACACAACCGGCCACGGGTCCAGCATAAGAAAAAGCGGGGTATAGCATAAGAAAAAATTCGGTGTCCGTTGTTAAATGCCTGAGATGCATGCATGAAACTGGGGTGAAGGTGCATCATGTGTTTTCCATTGCTCTGTTGTTTATGAGAAACATGAGGTGAGCTATCGCATGCTATCGCCATGGTACAAATGTTCAATATGTCGAGCGAGATCGGAAGGCCCTGAATTGCGCGAGCATTCCAAACAGGGACCCCCCACTCAGCCGAGTTGACGATCTTCCAAACCATGAGAGTGAAATTTGCAGCGGGCCTCCCTGTATGAGGCTCAAAGTAGTTTCAGGAGCGAGCACTGGGCAATAAGCAGTGGCGAGATCTCCTGATGGATTCAGCTTCGAACCCAGCGCAGGAATCTGTGTTTGTTCATGGTGATTGTTTCCTGGCTGCCGCACTGATAGTGGTAGAAGTTTAATAATGTTTTGTCATCACTGCCATTGTCGTTATCATGTCAGCCATGTTTCTCACTATTGGCATCATCGTTGTCCTCTTTCAATGTTATTGTTGTTGTCGGTATACTTGCAATTGTACCCGCTACTGTGATGTTTGCTGATACTGATACTGTTGCTGCCGCTGTTACTGTGGCTGCTATTGTTACTGTCGTTCTGTTTTGCTGCTTGTTGCTAGTATTTCTTCCGTCGCTGCCCTTGTACGAGGGGCTGTTATTACAGCTGTGATAGGTTTTTTCGGCTTCGGGGACCTGGATCATGGATTGACAGGTCTTTGTTAGGGCTTTGGGGTTTACGGTTTAGGGGTTTGGGGCTTGTTTTCTGATCTGGGAGTTGGACTCTTCTAGTGTAAGTTCATGTTGATTTACTGGGAGATTTGCCACCCTGCCACTTGCCGAGCTGTGAGGTTCGTACTGCCAACGTCCGAGCCTATGCAGGGAACCAAGAAAAAGTTCCGAAGACAGCGATGGCTTTCCTGTGCTTGCACAAGTTTCAAAGGCCTACACCTTACCCAGGGGTACTTAGAAATACTTTTAATTTTTGGTTACTGTAATCCC